CAATAAATGTACAAATGTGCTTTACACAATTGATGTACGTATGGATTGTGATAAGAGTTGTATAAGCCCCTAATAAACTGATTAAAAAAACTTAAGTGACTGGACACTATTTCCATGTATAATGAGAGTTGGAGATAGGGAAAAACTTTCAGTAACACTCCTTCACTAAGGCAGAGGTGTGTCTGTTGGACTACGACATGTCATGAAAAAGGAGTGAGAGCATGAAAATAGCAAGCATGGTGGTCTCAGGTTAGTGGTCACCCGGAAAGGAGAGAGATTTCAATCGAAGTCCAATAACTTCATAACTTTCCGATAGGAGTCATTTGCTTCTTCTCACACTAGGACATTTCATCATCAAATTCAAAGGAGAATTTCAATTCCTGTAATCTCCAACAGGCAAAGTTTAAGGTAAAATGTAGTCCACTTAGTAGAGTTTCCAAACTGAAGCTTTCTGGTGTGGTCTATGAATAAGGTGACCAGATGTCCTGCTTTTGAACAATTTTTCCCGCATCCCGCGGCGTTTTTTAAAAAGTCCCGATTTTTGGAAAGAATGCATGACAAGCTAGGGTATACGGTTTTCGGCTGCCACGTGGCTATTTCGACAGGATGTGAGTTTTATCAATGGTGTCCCGCTTTACCAATGTTAAAATCTGGTCACCTTATTTATGAAGGATGCTGTGTGCTGTAAATGGACAAAATTTAAAGCCCTGGTTGTTTGTAACATGCAGGCCAGGTCACTAAGAGGTAGATAGAAACTAAGTCAAAAGTGCCTGATTAGGAATATAGTATGAGGCATATTCTTCCACTAGGGGTAATATTAAGAGTTTTGTTAAGAGATTTTCCCAATGGCAGGTTGCCCCTACGGGTTTATCAACAATGAAGGAGATCACTTTCTCTGAGCCAGACAAGTCGCCACCCCTGCTCATTTCTGGACTTGAATTTCTATTAAGGTTCACTGAGCTCGCTCTCTTTCTCTTATTTTGAATAATTTCACTGAGCACTCTGCCCCCCCGCCCCCACTGAGCATTCTTGGAGTGTATGGATTGATTTGTGGTGAAGGTGGAACAATGCTATATATATAGCAAGAACTGATTGTCTTCTAACTCTTAACACATGAAAACTGACCCCAGCTGAGGTGAGGCCTCCTCTGATAAAGTGGTGTTTAAGATGTACAAATAAGAGAATAATGTATGATCATAAGCATACCATCTTGACAATCTTTGTCCTTTTGTGATGGACTAACTTCACTCAGCATAACAGTTTCCAGGTTTATCCATGTCATGATGTGCTTTGTGGCTTCAGTGCTGTTTTTCAGAGATGCGTAATAGTCCATTGTGGCCATATACCAGAGCTTCTTTAGCCATCCCTCTATTTACGGGTGTTTGGGCTGTTTCGAGCTTCTTGCCATTGTAAACTGTGCTTCAATATCCATGGGGGAGCATACATGTTTATGTTGTGTTTCTTGCTTCTTTGGGGTATATACCCACAAAGGTACTGCTGGATTGTATGGGATTCTATTCCCAGTTGTTTTAGGTAGCGCCATATTGCTTTCCAAAATGGTTTACAAACCCAACAGCAGTGTATAAGAGTTCCAGTCTCTCTGCAACCTCTCCAGCATTTGTAGTTTTCCGTTTTCTAAACTTGGGCTATTGTTGGTGTAAGGTGATATGTCATCGTTGTTTTGAGTTGCATCTCCTGGATGGTTAATCATTGCGAGCATTTTTTCATGTGTTTGTTATTGGCTACTTTGTATTGCATGAACTAATCCTTAGTGTACTGGTTACCAAGTGAAATGTCCCCATTTGATCATTTTAGTGAGAGAACTGTTTCCATGACCCTTCCTGTCCCCACCTCCAAGATTATGTATTTTTGAGAATATAATATAAACTACATGTGTGGAAAAACCACATGAAGCGATTCCAAAGAAAAAGATCTGCCTTTTGAGTACCTGGACAACTTGGGATTCTTAAAGCTAGAACGATTTTCTATGATACAAGTCATGAGTGAAAAACAACATTTACCAGAATCAGAAAGAAATAGGAGAACATCAAAACCCACACATAAAGCATTTCATTGTTACAAATCTGGGGAAAATTACTCTATCCCTAATGTTATAATACTGATTATCACTTCAGATAAAACTCTCTATTATTTGTAAAAGAGAACCCTTTTTATAAAATACATCCACCGTAAAATTGTTACTTAGTAGAGGCATCTATTAGTGGAGTGGTAGCTTTATTCCAAGGACCACCCAACACCATCCTTTCAAACCTACGTTTCCTTTGCATTTGCTTCTAGCCAGCAGATCTGAGCACCCCAGTCAAGTTCACAGACCTTCTCCTTCAGTCACATCAGAACGGTCCAACTTGGCTTCCTTATGCTGTCCTTCTGCCACCTTCACGGCAACAGCTCGGCAAATGGCTCCAAACCTCCTGTCCAGAGAACGAACTCCGGCTTCTCTGGTATATCTGTCATCATAAAAGAAAAAATGAATTATTTTAGCTAAACACTGTCTGTGAAAATAGAAATAATATGGTTAATATTTTTACTGAAGTTCATTATATTTCCTATCACTTGATCCAACTTTGGTGGCTTACCTGTTACTCTGATGCGAAAGCTAAGCTACTGGTCTTTTAAGCATCAGCAGGGTTACCCATAGTAGACAAGTTTCAGTGAGGCTTCCAGATAAAAACAGACTAGGAAAAAGGAAAAGGTGTTCTAATTCTGAAACAAAACAACCCCAAACAAACAAGTACTGTCCAATCTGACCTTATGAATAGCACAATAAACCTTATGCCTGATCACGTGCTGGAAGCTGAGTGCCTAAGTTTGGAAGAGCTGCCTCCTCAACGGAGACTAAACTTTTAATGACAGGGACAGTGAAAAACTTGAAGAAAGACCTTCATTTGATGATGTGGTACAACTCAAAATGAGAAGAATCAGCCGTAACTATCCAAATAGTGGAATATAGTATGAACCTAGGAAATGAGAAATTAAAAAACATGAAATAGAGCACATAAATATTGATATTCTAGGGATTGGTTAACTGAAATGTACTGGTATTGACCATTTTGAATCAGACCATATTATGATCTACTATGGCAGGAATGATAAATTTAAAAGGAATGAAGTTGCCTTTATATTAAAAACAGTATTTCAAGGTCTATCCTGAAGTCAAACAGGCATACAAGGCAGAACAGTTAATATAATTATTACTCAAATTTATGAATCAACCACTAAGCAAAAATGAAGAAATTGAAGATTTCTAACAACATCTGCCTACCACTCATTGCCAGTTTATCATACTGTTGTGGCTTCAAGTTGTTGTGATGCTGGGATTTAAAATATCAGCAAGGTCATCCATAGTGGATAGGTTTCCAGATAAAGGCAGATTAGAAAGAAGGACAATGCGATCCATGTCTGAAAATAGCCACTGAAAAACTTATGAATTACAATGGACCACTGTTTCACCATTTCAACATACTTAATCAATTTGTATAATAAGCAAATTATTTGAGAACCTGGACTAGGTGAAGAGGAACATTTGGATTGGAGGAAAACTCAATAACAATGTATAACATACAGGTGATGCAATCTTGCTTGGTGAAACTGAGGAGGGCTTGAAGCACTTACTAATGAAGATCAAAGTCTATAACCTTCCTCATGTATTTCACCTCCACATAAAGAAAATATAAATCCTCACAACTATATTATTAAGCATCACTAAGATAAATGGAGTAAAGATGAAAGTTATCAAGGGTTTAATTTTATTTGTATCTACAATAATGCCATAGGAAGTAGTAGTCAGGAAATCAAATGGCACAGTGCTTTGGAAAAATCTGCTACAAAGATTTTAGAGTGTAAAGGGCAAAGATGTCACTTGGAGGACTGAGGCATGCTGGACTTAAGTCATGGCACCTTCAATCACCTCGTCTGCTTGAACTAGCTGGACAATGGGTAAGGCAGACTGAAGAAACTGATGCCTTTAGATTACGGTGTTGCAGAAGAATATTGAACATAACATGGGTTTCCAGAAAAGCAAATATATCTTGGAGGAAGTAGAGCCAGAATGCTCCTTAGAAGTGATAACACATACTTTGCTATCAAGTGATGACAAGACTTTGCTACACATACTTAGTTATCATGTTATCCAGAGGGACTAGTTCCTGGATACCAACTTGATAGCATGTAACAACTCTTTTGTGAATAGTAATCTCCCAACACTTAAAATTGCGTATTTGGGGGAGGGTGGAGGGAGGGAGGAAATGAGCAAACGATACTGAGGGCTAAAGTAGAGGGCAAATGTTTTGAGATTGATGAGGGCAACAGGTGTACATATGTGCTTGACTCAATGGATGTTATGTATGGACTATGATAAGTATTGCACGAGCCCTCAATAAAATAATTTAAAAAAAAAGAATAATGAGGGTAACAAATGTGCTTTATACAATCGATGTATGTATGGATTGTGATGAGTTGTATGAGCCCCCAACAAAATGACTTTAAAAAAAACTAAAAAAAAAATTGTGTACTTATATATTATTTTTTAAACATTCAGATGCATTTTCAGCCATAACATTTTCCTCTATACAGATTATCATGAACTATTGCTGTATAAGAGTACTTCATAAGAGTACAAAAGTTTCTAAGAATGCTATATAATTTATAATTATTTAAAATGTCTAGTAAAACGGTTGAAAAAACAAACATAAAAAACATGTCCAGCAAAGGTGGTGACCTAGAAAGATAATGCTAAACAAGCCTTCTTTACTGAAGATGTGAAAATAGATAAGAAAAGAAAACCCGGAGCCCTGATTCTCTGATGAAAAAAAGCTAAATGAGTTTAACACTAACAACACAAGAGACTGTCATAGGGGGATGGAACTATCTCCCATACATGGAAGAAGCACAAGTCCCCATTTGTGTGCTCAGCAGTGACTACCAAACTCTATTTGACCTGGGTGAAGCTGGTGGAAGTTACCAGAACTCCAGGCTTGACAGAATTGGCATAGACCTAGTTTTAAACCAGCAGAGAAGGAGGGCACACATATTCACCAACTCCCAGGACCTGGGTGCAGCAGAGCTAACTTGAGCTATTTTTAAGCCACCAAAGCAATAATAAAAGGGCATGGCCCACACATTTGCAACTTCTGTGGCAGAAGCCTCAAGAAAACTCATTTTGACTCTCTGGGAGACTATGAATACTCGGGGGCTACTGGTGCTGGCCTGGGATTTTTTTTTGCTTTTTTTTTTTTTTTTTAGAAACTGACAAAGAAGAGGCACAGGATGAAGTGAGGCGGAACAATAACTCCCTCAAATCAAAACCAAACTCATTGCCATTGCGTTGATGCTGACTCATAGCAGCCCTATAGGACAGAGCAGAACTGCCCTTGTAAGTTTCTGAGACTGTAACACTTTACGGGAATAGAAAGCCCTATCTCTCTCCCATGGAGCAGCTGGTGGTTTTGAACTGCTGACTTTGAGGATTGCAGCCTAACACATAACCACTACATTACCAGGGCTCCTACTCCATAATCCCCTAGTCTCAAGAGAAATCATACACTTCCACTATCACAGACCTGTAGCTGTCCTCTGACAGTATGCAGCAAAGTGGGTCCTTGGAAAGTATATACTAGTGAATGAAAAAGAGAAAGTAGCTCTAGATTGGAGACTGGGTCTTCTTCTTTTTTTAAAACAATCTACTTTTTAAAATTTTTTGCTGTTGTAGATTTGTGTATTTGTTAAAAAAATCATTCCATTATTGATCCACCAGACAGAAACAACTGTCCCAACATGCCTCAGCTCCTCTGTATCCCCCCAGCTATACCTAGTGGGCAGGACCATCATCCACACCAGAACCACCTGATCAACAAATTCAAAACAAAAAACAACAAATAAACTTGATGTCTTAAAGATAAAAGACAATTAATTATAGCTCACCTGAAGAAGCGAGACAGAGTAGCACAAGTAAGTGACCAATATACAGAGCCACAAGGCCTTCCTAAAGAAGAGAAGGCATTGAAACCAACTGAAAAGGTATTTAGAAGAATGGTTCAATGGATGGCATAAATACTATAAAATAATTCAGGAAAACATAGTGAGAGAAATCTGAAAAAAATTAGAAACCATACAAAAATTGTAAATAGAAATCGAGATTAATACTAAGATGCTGGAAATAGATAATACACTAAAAGAGCAAAACAGTACAACTGAATCATTAGAGGGCTGAATTAGTGACTTGAAGATAATTCGATACCAAATTATAAGAACAATCAAATAATGAGAAAGAAAAAGTCAAAGAAAGTCTAAGAATTATGTGAGCAACATAGAGAGGAATAGTATAGAATGACTACAATTCCGGACCAGGAAGAAACCAAACCAAACCTAAGCACAGAAAGTACTGTTCAAGAGCTTCTGTTAGAAAATTTTAGAAACATCACGAAGGAGAAAGTAGCCACACAAAAAGCGGAAAATAATCCCAAAAGGATAGACTCCAAAATAAAGCCATGATGACATCGCAGAATCTTACTTTCAAAAATAAAGAATGAAAGCATCCCGAGCACAGCTCAAGAACAAGGCAGTTTCTTACAAAGTGGAACTACTACTGATCTCTCAGGAGAAACCACTGCAGGCAAGAAGGCAACGAGACAACATATATAAAACTATGAAAAAAACAACAACAGCCAAGATTACAGCAAAATTGTTCCTCAACTCTAAGGATGAATGAAATAAGAGCATTTCATAATTAGTAAGAAATTAAAGGAATCTGTGCAAACAAGATCAACTTTACGGAACATACTAAGGCGAGTTTTCTTTGGGCAGAGAATTAGCAATAGCACAGACATCAATCTGGGATCAACATACAAGACAATACCACCAGAAATCAGCACCAGTCAAGAAACAGTAGGAGAATAGATGAGAACGCAGAATCTAACAATACGCTGCTTATAAACCAATTTATAAACTATCAAGGGCTCATGCGGGAGGGGGGAGCGGGGAGGGAGGGGAAAAATGAGGACCTAATGTCCGGGGTTTAAGTGGAGAGAAAATGTTTTGAGAAACGATGTACAAATGCGCTTTACACAATTGATGTGTGTATGGATTGGGATAACAGTTGTATGAGCCCCTAATAAAATGTTTAAAAAAACACACAAAAACTATAAGGATACTAATATTGAAAAATATTAAATAAACATTTAAATTCAGGTTCTATAACCTGCTTTATGTACACTCATCTATTTCTCACAATAATTCTTGAAGGTAGATATAAGACACATGTAGACATTGCCATCAACACGTGTAATTTATTTAAGCCATGTTAAGCTTATGTTTTAGTAGATCCTGTCATCTCATTTGAATACTAAGCTTAATAATGTTTGTTTTTGTTTCAGTATTAGTAATTTAAAACTTGGTATTTTGAATATATAAACATTAATGCTTGTAATAGACATTAGCATAATAAAAGATG